CGTCGGTCTCCCCCTTGAACTCAAAGGTGGGGTGGGCCCTCTCCTTGCAGGGCTGGATACGGCGCACTATAAAGCTTGCCGCCACTAATCCACCGTTGGTCTTCACACCCTTTATTAAGCCAAGGAGCTCTCTCACTTGCTCCATATCAGCGTTGCTTGGCGTCTCCGACCAGCTCTTCTGGCTCTCCGGTATGTGGTCGGTGTTGCAGCGGACTGCAGGTTGGCTCTGCTTCATGTAGAACCACCTGGTGTTCCACCCCTTCAACGATGTGCTTAGCAGAACAGTAAGGTATTCTCCCACCATTCCATCGCGCAGCTGAAGATATACTCCACCGACCACCTTGGAACCACCGCCGCCTCTCTTCTTCAGCCAGAACAGGTGACGGAAGAGATTGAAGTGTGGAAGGATTCCGAGATATGCTTCACAGAAATAGATGAAGATAGATATGTGTAACATGGTATTTGGGTGGAGGTTGCACAGACTAACCGCCCAAAGCTCCAACAAATCCCTCAGGAATGGATGAATAGGAAATCCCAACCCGTGCTAGAAATAGTCCTCAAATACCACCACTTCATCGGTATGAGGCATGGGGAAGGGCTCACCAAGGGCCGGCCGCCATCCAGCGGTGACGTTGTCAGGCAGAATGCCCGCCTCCACCAATCTGTTGAGCTCCGCCTCTCCCATTCATGATGGCACCGAATCTTTGTCACGCCGGATTTCAGCACTCGCCTTCTGGGGGCTCATCTTCTTTGGTTTCACACCTCCCTTCTTCGGCGCCATCTCTCAGATCTGGCTAGGGTTTGGTGACGGAAGCAGGAGTAGATGTGAATCTAGAAATGCGATGGTAGAGGAGGAAGATGAAATGGCAAAGGGGCAAAGGTATGAGCGCGCGGTGCGGCGGCGCAGTTATAAAGCACTCCCCCCACCTTTTCACATTTGAGGGTTTTTGGGAAACCGTTCCCGCTATTTACGTTTCTCTAAATTCTCCGCAACTGAAGGTGGGCCGTTACCTGGGCCTTCACGTAGCCCCGGCCCGTATCACTGATTTATCTCCGCAATTTGTTATGGCTCGCTGAATATTCACCAACATCTTCGTCAACCGTTATGGCTCAGTAATTACTACTGTACATCTGTTACTCTAGTGTTTTCTCTGCGATTCTGTTTTCTCCAAGTTGACTGTTGTTTCTGACCCTGGCACCATGTGACTATGTCACCTACTGTCAGGCTCGGGGACTAAGTGGGCACACTACACCTTACGGTGAATGTGCTTTTTGGGGCTACGCCTGGGGACTGACTGCCTGCTCGGCTGGTCTTCTACTTTTCTTCTACTTTGGACCCTGGCACCACATGACTACGTCATCTATTATTAGGCTCGAGGACTAAGTGGGCACACTTTACCTCACAGTGAATGTGTTTGCTTTATTTTGGAAGACTCCGCGCCTCTTAAAGTTGAAGAAGACTATCTCCTTTTCTTGTGGTCGGACTCTAAGTGGGCACACTTGGTCCACTATGAAGAAAATTTTTGATTCTGAACATGAGCTCCTTACACCCTTATGGCAAGCCGTACTTGGGTTATACTGCTCGGCTATGGTTCACAGTTGCTCGGCGATGGTTCATGCTACTCGGCAACTGCTCACAACTGCTCGGCAACTCATCACGGTGGTCGGACCATGAGTTTGACTGCTCGGCTTTGTTCGCACTTGCTCGAACAAGCTCAAGATGGCGTTGCACAATGGGTACAAGGCGCTCGGGGACTAGCTATGGGGGGTACGACCTCGGATACCCACGGAAGACCACATGGGCTGCGCCCCTAGGGGTGGCCCAACCCACAGGTCGAAGCCATGCGGGGCACGACTCTGCTCGGCGCCTCCCGCAAGACACCGGAAAGATATCTTGAAGATACTGTGAGATCTGTTAGGATACATATGATTCCAAGATTCTTGTAATCTGTTATTACTTTTCAGTTATCTCTCAGATCTAACCGACTTATAACCCTGCCCCCGGACTATATAAGGCGGGCAGAGACCCCTCTAAACTCACGTAATATCATACGATAGTTAATACAAACCAATAGACCACAAGAGTATGGTATTACGTCATACGGATGGCCTGAACCTGCCTAACTCATGTGCCTCTGTTGCCTTCTTGTTCTTGATCACACGCTTCTCTGTCGATCAATCTACCTTCGTGGGATACCCCTCGGAGGACTGCCGACGATATTCTGTCGACAAGGGTGGAGCACTAGGTGGATCGGGAGGCGTGGAGGAAGAAGGGTGGTCGAGTGGCTTGGGATCCATGGTCGGGGGGACTAGGATGGAAGTAAGGTCGCTGTCCATGGTGGAAAGGGGGAGGAAGCGAACAATGGGGAGTAGAAAGGTGAAACTTGGTACCTCATCGTTGAGGTAAAGCATGCCAAACTAGGAAATCGGTGGATTGCAGTCAGACGACGTCGGAAACGGGAGTGAGGACAGATCGGCACGTGGTGGAGCAAAGCAGTGTAGGCACAGGTGTCACCAAGAGCACGAGCTAGGGCTCGGGCAGATGTCGACCACCGATGGGATGAGCGAAGCGGGGTGAAATCGAAGGGTGTAGGTGTCGATTAGCAATTGAATCGCACAAAGAGAGATGTGATTGGATGACTTGGGCGGATTGGAGTTGGGGAATTAGGGGTTTCAGAGGAGGGGAAAGGGGAACCGACAGAGACGCCACTCTTCCTCACTATGGGACTCCGATATGGGTAGATCCCATAGGCCTCTTTGGTGTGATAACTTTAGTTCGCGGCGTCGCCCAAACTGACATGGTAAGATACAAAATCTTAAGGTTATATTAAGTTTATACAACCAATATTTAGGACACCAAATAAGTATTATTATATTTATAATTAAATATGTTTTCATAGTTGCTCATCTTCTTTATAAATTTTGTTAAACAAAAGAATTTTGACAACAAAACCAGAATGTTACTTTAAACAAGACAGAAGTAGTCAGATAGTAAGATATATAGGATATTTACCATTAGATTTTCAGTTTGTTGATTTTCCAAATATATAGGACATTTAACATTAATTTTTTAGTTTACTAACTTTCTTGAAGTACTAAATGGATTTTTTTATCGACATGGATGGCCATAAAAGCCCTCCACTTCACAATATTGGCCATCCAAAGTAGTTGCCAAAACTTTAAATTTCTTGTACTAGGCAATTTTTCTAGATAGAGAAATATAAACAATCAAATGAGTATAGCCGTTTAGATTAGACCTATAGTATTTACTCCCCTTTCATAGTTGATGATGTTTTAAATCTAGGCACAGAAATTTAAGAGGAGTGGAACATGTGTAGTGCACAGAAACAAAAAGGATAGAAATAGATATGTATTGAGAAAAGAAAAAATACATTGAAAAGTGAGAATGCAGCTAATTTGGGACGGAGGGAGTAGACCACACTCCAAACTTTGTACTCAAAACTAAAAAATTATAAAATAACGATGTCAAATAAAATACTCAAAACTAGAAAGTTGTATGTATAAACAAAAGAATTTTAACAACAAAACCAGAATGTTACTTTTAACAAGACAGAAGTAGTCAGATAGTAAGATATATAGGATATTTACCATTAGATTTTCCGTTTGTTGATTTTCCAAATATATAGGACATTTAACATTAATTTTTAGTTTACTAACTTTCCTGAAGTACTAAATGGATTTCTTTTTGTTATCGACATGGATGGCCATAAAAGTCCTCCACTTCACAATATTGGCCATCCAAATTAGTTGCCAAAACTTTAAATTTCTTGTACTAGGCAATTTTTCTAGATAGAGAAATATAAACAATCGAACGAGTATAGCCGTTTAGAATAGACCTATAGTATTTACTCCCCTTTCATAGTTGATGATGTTTAAAATCTAGGCACAGAAATTAAAGAGGAGTGAAACATGTGTAGTGCACAGAAACAAAACGGATAGAAATAGATATGTATTGAGAAAAGGAAAAAGTACATTGAAAAGTGAGAATGTAGCTAATTTGGGACGGAGGGAGTAGAGCACTCTTCAAACTTTGTACTCAAAACTAAAAAGTTGTAAAATAACGACTTCAGATAAAATACTCAAAATTAGAAAGTTGTATGTACAGTTGGGAGCTACAATTTACAAAAATCATCTTCAGCCAACGACGCTTATGAAAAACAGATTATTGTTCTTAGGATTTGCTTTAAAGAGAGATAAAAGAAGCTTTCTTGAATCGAGTACTACATTCATCCCTCAAAGAGTGTTATTCCAGATTTAGAATAACTCAAATATTTTAAGTTTAATTAGATTTATATAAAATATTATCAACATCTATATCTCTAAATAGATTAATTATGAAAATATACTCCATAATTCATCAGATGATACTAATTATATCTCATAAATATTAGTATTTTTGTATATATATTTTGTCAAACTTGAGACTCATCAACTCCTGTGAGAATGACACTCTTTTGAGATGGATGTAGTAACGGTGTTTATAAAAAGGAGAATTTGTTGGAGTTCTTCTAACATCAATTAGATATACATAGTATTCCCTTTGTCTATAAAAGAATACAATAATTGTAAGTCTTGTTTGGTTGGGATCAATAAGGTTTTGTTTGGATGGGGATCCCATGGGTCTGTTAGGACTTACCCCATATTTACAGTAGTGGATATTTTCTCTCACAAATCCTGGTATTTTTTCTTTCAACTCCATGTTCACTTTGCAACAAAGAGAGGGAAAAACAGCTCCTGACAAGATGAATAATCCTATGAATAATGTTTACCCTACAAGATGTAGAAGAAATAGAAATCGCAACAAACACTGCCACAGGCTATTGAAGTATTTTGATTTGAGTCTCACTAACTATGAATAAAAAATATCAGTATTTACAATATAAGTATCATTAGTTTGTTACGAGATATATTAAACATTAATTACCTAGAATTGTATTTTTTTTTACCGAGGAAGCGTGTATTATTATGAACATCAGGAAATGGTAAAATTGGATAATGGGAGTTTGCCACGTCGGACGTCGTTCCACACCCTTCCCTTCCTTCTTCCACCGCTTTGCGTTCGTACTTATTTTGCCTTTGCTTCGCTTGGCTTCCTCGCTCCCTGGTCCCTTTTTTTTATCATCAATCACGCGCAGCTCCCGCAGACCCCCACCCAAAACCCTAGCCGCCGCCGCCGCCGCTGGCTGAGGACATGTATCCACCGCTCGGAGACGCATAGGTTGTGTGATACGAGTGGGAGAAAGCTTCTTCAGCACGTGCTGACCTCTCAGCCGCGCCGGCATGGACATGGAGAGGCCATAGATCGCCGGAACGCGCCTCCGCCGCCGGACGCGGCGGCGGAGAAGGATGAGAGCTCCCAGGGTCTACAACTCCCAGAGGACATCCGCTGGGAGCGGCTCGACAAGGCGCGCTTCTTTGTCGTGGGCGCCGGGCTCTTCTCCGCCGTCTCGGCCGCGCTCTACCCCGCCGTTGTTCTCAAGACGCGCCTCCAAATCGCCCCTGCGGCGGCGGCGGCTGGGCCGGCAGCGCCCCCGCCCTCCGCCGTCGCGGCGGCGACTGCCATCCTGCGCCAGGAGGGACCCCTCGCCTTCTACCGCGGCTTCGCCACATCCCTCGCCGGCACCATCCCGGCGCGCGCGCTCTACATGGGCGCGCTCGAGGCCACGCGCTCCGCCGTCGGCCCAGCCGCGCTCAGCCTCGGCGCCGCGGAGCCCGCTGCGTCGGCGGCAGCGGGCGCAGTGGCGGGCCTCGCCGCCGCTGTCGCCGCGCAGGTCGTGTGGACGCCCGTCGACGTCATCAGCCAGCGCCTCATGGTTCAGGGCAACCCCTGCCCTGCCTCCCGCTACCACGGCGGCCTGGACGCCTTCCGCAAGATCGTGGCGTCTGACGGGCTACGCGGCCTGTACCGTGGGTTCGGCATGTCCATCCTAACCTACGCCCCCTCCAATGCTGTGTGGTGGGCAACTTATTCACTGTCACAGAAGATAATTTGGAGTGGTATTGGCTGCTACTTGTGCGAGTATGGTGTTGGTGTCCAGAAAATTGATCTCGATGATGGGGATTCTTTGCTGCAGCCAGGTTGCAAGACTGTCATGGTAGTTCAGGGAGTGAGTGCCGCGATGGCCGGTGGTGCATCTGCGTTTGTGACCATGCCACTGGACACCATCAAAACCAGGATGCAAGTCATGGATGGGGACGGTGAGCCGATTACCGTGGGGAGGACAGTGCGTAGGCTGATCAAAGAAGGTGGGTTGGCTGCTTGTTACAGGGGCCTAGGGCCGAGGTGGGCGTCCATGTCATTGTCTGCCACCACCATGATTACCACCTATGAGTTCCTCAAGCGGCTCTCAGACAAGGGCCAGGAGAGTGATCTTGCATGATGTTTGATAACCAGTATAGACAACAAGTAATCAGGTGCATTTGCTTTGTTTCTTTATTGTTTCATTTCCAACACATGATATGTTATGTGTTCAAAAAAATGGTGGGCGAATGTTTGTAGATAATCTTTGTTTGCTCCTCTAATCCAGTTTTCCAAAGCAATGCAATTTACGTCGGTTATATATTGTAGTTCTCTTGTCATGTTTTTGTAGCTGCATTTCTTGGCATCAAATTGGTGGTTATGTCTTGGTCTGATTCAGTTATGCTTACTCGAATCTTTGTTTGTGCTGAACCACTGATGTTTCTAATACAGTTGTTGTTAAGTGCTTTTGGACTTCTGTGGACACTAACAATGTTGTCCATGTCCCATGTTAGTAGAACATTGTCATGTTTGCTTAGGATGTCTGTAAATTTACTGGCACCTGGTTGTGAACAAGAATATAGATGTTATATGCATGGTGGCAAATATTGTACTTCTAATTCTAGAATAAATGGTATGTGTTTTCACTGTTTATATATACTATTACCATGCTTCACAGCAGACATGTCAAACAGATCCCTTTTTTCTATTCGATGACATCAAGCATCAGATGGCTGTGTCAATTGTTTTGTCTCTATTCTGTTTCTGGGCGGGCCTGGTGCAAGCGGTAGAGTCTTACCGCCTGTGACCGGAAGGTCCCGGGTTCGAGTCGCGGTCTTCTCGCATTGCACAGGCGAGGGTAAGGCTTGCCACTGACACCCTTCCCCAGACCCCACACAGAGCGGGAGCTCTCTACACTGGATACGCCCTTCCGTTTCTGGTTCTCAACCAGGTTCATGACAGGATCTGAATATGCTGATAGGCATTAAGACTAGTTGACAGTGTAGCGTGATACTTCTGCAACTTGCAAGCAAGTGAAATCGGTATGTTATATATGAGTTCTTATACACAAGGGTGCAGTTTGAACTATGGGAGTGGAGTCCTGGAAACATGCACTTGTGTCATTTTACCCTTCTTTAAGGGCGTACCCAGTGCAGAGAGCTCCCGCTCTGTGCGGGGTCTGGGGAAGGGTGTTAGTGGCAAGCCTTACCCTCGCCTGTGCAATGCGAGGAGACCGCGACTCGAACCCGGGACCTTCCGGTCACAGGCGGTAAGACTCTACCGTTTGCACCAGGCCCGCCCTTCTTTATTCCACCTCATTCAGTTCGTGATTGGAGAAGGTGGCAAATTTAGGTAGCTGGTTTAAGAGTATTTTTTGTTGGGATTTTAAAAATGATAGATGATGTTTCAACTAATTGCGGTATGCAAATGCTTTTACTCAGTTAGAAATTCACACCAATAATTGCCTAAATTATTTCTTTGAGATAATAATGATCCACTTATTATGCTTTGTTTATGATATCATTCTCTTCATGCTGGATTGGTTGAAGTTCGGTGGTAGTCTTTCACATTGTTGTTTTGTTGTTAGAGCGCCAAACATTGTCTTGTACCACCATCTTGTGTGTTGGAGAAGACGCACTCATTAACTCAAATCATTGTCTCGTGCTTCTGGAGTTTATAATTTATTATATTGGCAGCCAACCTAGATTGTGGAAGCTGGTTTGTAGATTGTGGATAGTGAAAACCCGTTTGTAAAATAGGGGGTGCTGTTTAGATCCCCGATTAACTTCATGCCTGATTTATGCCTGTGAGCGAGTTTTGATTGAGAAATGCATACATTATCTGGTTCCAGTTGCTGCTAAAAGTATGCCTGTGACTCTGTGAGCCGAGTTTTGAGTGAGAGATGGATACATTATCCGGTTCATGTTGCTAAAAGTCATGAAGTTCCGGGAGACTGAAAATTGCAGTTATACCAAACCTTTGTTGTACCTCACCCCCAAACTGAAAATTACCATTATACGAACCTTTGTGCCTTATCTTCCATATCTGTTGTGCCCCCTGTATACTAATATTGCAGAACTATCGACAAAATTGAAGACAAAAGTAGCTTTCAGGTGCAAAGTGAAAAGAGTCACAAGTGCTCGAATTTAGAATTCAATGAAAATCTCAAAACCAAGTCTCAAAACATGTGGTTCTTGGTAGAAGACAGCGACAGCAGTGGAAGAAGAAACTATGCCAGTGAGGGATCGCAGAGCTAACTTTACCTGCCATGGCACTTGCCACTTGGTGAGGATTAGCCTGCCAAAGTTCCAAAGTGATTCGCTTAATTATTCCAGGATGGTTAGTGTGTGGATCGCTGAAGTTCTATATTAGCCATTTGGCATTTGTTGGATGGTGAAAGGTCACTACCAATCTACCACAAAGTCATGAGGTTGCACAAGAGAAGCAAAATCGGCCTACAAAGAGCCTGCAAAGGAGGCAATGAAAAACGATGACCGGGATTGCATATGCCGACGAGGGCAACAACTAAAACTTCCCTAAACTTTTGCTCGTTTGTGCGTTCACTCTAGTCACAATCAACCCGTCACAACTCACAAAGTGGTTTTGAGTTGGGTCACTCAGTACCAACTTGTCTGTTCATAATTGTGCTGTCTGGAAAAGCTCGAGTACAGTAAGACAGTGACAACAGCAAAATAGTGCACACAACACAAGCATGCTATTTTGTCCGATGGGAAGCAACAGGTAGATATACAATATTAATGAAAAACGAACAGACACCTTTGGTTGCCGGAAAGCGGAAACTACAGGTTCAGTAGTGAAAGACGTACATTTTTTTTTCCTAAGCTAGACACCCTTTGAGCTAAATGAGTTGCTCACGCATTTCCTGTTCAAAACTGACGAAAAAAGGGCAAAAAGATCGAACGAAATGTAAAATGCCGGAAACGGGACCTCTTAGGTTAGAAAAACATTGAATGAAGCTGGAAATGCATGTAGAAGTGTTAGTGCCAGATGTACAAGCATGGATCATCAGCTCAACCGAAGGAGAAGATGCTGATGGTCTCGGGCATTTCTTCTCAGAGGTATTGTTCGTGTATCCTCGCTCGGTTCTCTTCCCACCATAGCCTGGCATGCATCTCGCTGAACTTCTCCCGGCTGCAAGCACAAGGGCCATGTAAACAATCATGTATCTACTGCAATCTTGTATAATTCTATTTCAGTGAAGGCTTCGGTGCCTTCTCTGCTTTTAAGTTACTCTTATACATTGCAAGTTTATCCTACGAGCAAGCTAGTGGAAAGAGCCCTGGACACAAACCTGAACCGAACACGGCGAAGCTCTCTGATCCCACCAGGTAAAGCCCGGACTGTAATATATACACCAGGCTCGTCTTCTTCGACCCACTCCCTCTCCTGGTCGCTTGCATTGCTCATGGACACCGAGAGGTCACCAGACCTGTCGACCTCTTCAGGTGAGGAGCTTGTCCTCATTGATGCGTCCATTGATGAGGTTTCTGTCTTGGCTCCACTGATACTTGACAACTTTGGTGTTGGTACCAGGCCCATTGAATCACAGCATTGTTGTCCATGATGGGGGTGGTGGCCAGTACAGTAGTGGTTTGAGTGATGCTCGAGAGAATCTGATGAAGAGTAGCCCATCGCTGCACCACCTTGTCTGTGGAATGTGCGAGGTAGCCGTTCCTTGTCCAGCGGTGGTGTTACTGGGCTGTCCTCCTTGGAGCTCTATATGAAGAACAAAATGCCGTGGAACAATGTATCAGTTATAAAACAAAATATGACTGTAGTTATTGATACAGATAGAAAGAATGTTATGCGATGAACTGGGGTGTAGTCCCTTGAATTATTAAAAAACAGATAAATAAATTGAGTGGCCTCCTCACCTCATCTTCAGATTTTGGGGTAGTCGGGAGAGGGACAGTTTGATTAAACCTCTGGACATTGTAAAGTTCCATAACTTTGTCATAATTTTCAGCCCACCATCTTTGGGCTTGCCATTTGTTGAACATCTCACGGCTAGCATACACCATTACATGCAAAAGAGCAGATAACCACATGGTTATTCAAAGAACTGCTACATAAATAGATATAAGCATGCATATGCATCCATATCTGAAACTGATGCTCTCCTGTGCATCAGTTTCCACGCCTCATAAACCCTGATGCATTCTGCAAAAGCAGTTGTAAGGGGCCAATTTATATTTGACTCCAATAAGATGCCTGAACTTACATAGTTGTCTCATCTAATCCAATCCCCTACACATGGAAGGGGGAGGGCTAGGTGAGAAAACAGCCCAAATTCAAAGGTGCTCGATGAAACACGTGCAGGTTCAAGGGGCTCTGGTCCTCTGGAAGTAAACCGCAAGCTTGAGGAGGCTAGGTGAGACAATCAATCAAAAAGTTTAGGGGCATGTGCTGCAATTTTATCTTTGACATTGATAGGAGAAGTTGATTGATTGTTCTCCATATTCATGAAACCTAGATTTCTTCAAAATATTAAATATAGAACTGATGGAGAGCTAAATACAGTTCCCAAAACATCTGCCATCATTTAGAATGGAAAATTACATGGTTGAAATTTACCTATAAATTGGAGGACAAACTATGACGCGCTAACTGACAGTAATGATCTATCACGCTCAGAGGGCAATGGGAGATGGATGTGGTTTCCATGCCCCTAGAGTCGCAACAAAGCCCTGCAATCAACTGGGGAATGGGGAGCTTGGTACAGTGCATCCTGTAACAACATTGGCTGTCAAACCAACGTTACCAAACCTAGCCAGTGATCCACAGAACTCCACATCCAATGTCTCTCCTTCCTTCATATCTAGAACCAATATGCTAAAAACAAGAAACTTGCACTCATCTTAAGATCCAGCTTGTATTCAACTTATAAAAAAAATTATATATATTGTATATAATACTAGTGGGGACCAATGAGCATAGCTGGCCATGAGGAACTCCTCTCGAGAATCTAATTATAAAATTACTGCTACACTCAGTAGATCAATCTTAAAATGACCATTCTAAACTCAATCTGAACACTACAAATTTACAGCGAGCATATTCTTAAATATGCAGACTATCTTTTGTAGTATCCAGACTAAGTTTAAAATAGTGGTTTGTAAG